TCTTCATCCCTGAAATTATATAACATTTTAAGGCTTGCAAAATGCTTTATATATATTTCAAGCTGGAAGACATTTTAGAGGCAATCTAGCTTCCTTATTTTAAAACTAAGGAAACAAGCCCAGAGAAGCCATGACTTGCCCAAGGTCACACAGTTAAGATATGGCAAAAGCAGGATTTGAACCAAATCTATTGCCCTCTCCTTTGATCCTCACGACAGCCCTGTTGAAGAGGTCTAGGACTTTGGGCCCATCACTGTGAGGTTGGTGGTATTGCTGTAATGCAGAACATTATTTTACCATATAGGTAGTAGGGCCCTTTAAGCCATGGAAAGCAGAAATTACTGCTTAATCTTGCCCCAGACCTCTTTCCTCTTAAATCTAAACAACAGTGAAATGTACTCTTGCATAGCTCAGCATAGCCCGTACCTCCAACGCAAATGGATAAGAAAGCTTGCAATATAATTGCTTTAGATAATTATGTTTATACCAGACCAGGACACCTGGTCTGGTTGTGTGATCTCTGACCTGTAATAATGGGGTGCTCAGGTGCTTGTGCTTGTACTTGTGCCCCAATTTCTCCCTAGTCTCAGAAACACTGTCTCTGACAACCACTCCCCAGCCCAAGGACACTGTGCCTAGCAGTTATTCATGCATGGGCCTCAGCATGACCCTTATCTCTCTCCCTGGTACAGCTACACAGAGCTGAGCTGCTCAGGCCCCAGCCCTCAGATCATGTCTCTGGAAGCCTCCCAATTCCTTAGTAAGTTCCTGTCTTGTGAGAAAGCTTTCCCTTGTTGCAGAGCATTCTCTCAAGACAGAGGAAGAGGGGTGTCCTTGGCCAGCCCAAGGACTCTTCCTCCTGCCAGACTCCAAAGATCCATCTCCCTCCCTGTCCAGTATACTCCCTGTACTTTCCCATCCATAGCCCCCAAAGACACCTGCACCTTTGGATTACCTCATCAGTGTTCCTGGCCTTTCTTTCCCATGCTCTTTTCCATATAAACTCTAGCTCAACCCCTGATCGGGGCTGCTTGATTTGGGTGTGCGTACCCCTTGCAGCCTCGTGCTAATAAATCCACATTTTAAATTACGTAGCTCGCTGATTTCTCGGTACAACATTGCTCCTGAAGGGATTGTTAATTCCGATTTATAGACAAGAAAATTGAGGCTCATAAAGATTAAGTCTAAAGTCACCCAAGGGGTAAAATGCAAGGTGGGGCCATGAATGTCAGCTAAAGATGGTAAAATCTTAGATTCAGACCTGGAAAGGATCTTGGAAGCTATTTAATTCAGTTCTCTTCATTGTATAAATGAAGAACTGAGGCACAAAGAGATTAAATGAATTTCCAAAGATTATCTAGGTAGCAAATAAAAGAGCTAGGATTCACGCCTAAATCCTCTGACTCAAAATCTAGCAGTTTTTAAATTTAGACTTCATTCCTTAAGATCTGATCACTTTGTTAATGACTCGTAACTACAGTAATTAGTGGGCAGCTAAGAGATACCATGCTGGAACTGGAGTCAGGAAGACTTATCTTCCTGAGTTCAAATCTGGCTTCTGATACTTACTAGCTGTGTGACCCTGGGCAAGTCACTTCACTCTGTTTGCCTCAATTGCCTCAAATGAGTTGGAGAAGGAAATAGCAAACCACCCTAGTATCTTTCCTAAGAAAACCCCAAATGGGGTCATAAAGAGTAGGACATGACTGAAATAACTGAACAACAATATGGTAATTAATAATATAGCATTGACTTGCAACAATTCCCTTATGTAGTTAATAGCTCTCATTTACATAAATTTAGCTATGTGATTTATCAGTTTAGAGGCAGTCCAACACGACCTGGAAAGGGTACTGGATCTGGAGTCAAAGAATCTGAGTTCAAATCCTACCTTAGATACTTCTTGTAGAAACTTGAATCAAGTCACCACTTTTTTGGACCTCAGTTTTCTCATTCCTTACTTCTATAAGATTTCAGGTGGTTTTTAGAATATTCATTTTTTTTAAAATAGGCATACTCTCATTTTATTTTATTTTTTTTTCAAGTTAACAAAAAGACATTTACTTAGCCATAGCAAGAGAATGGTATTTGACAAGAATAAGCATTGAAGACATCAAATTGATTCACCTAGGTGAAGTTCCTTTGCATGATCAAAACTCTGAGAGCCATCCCCGATCCAGGTCCTTGAGGATACTTCATACTCTCAGAAGATGAAGAAAAGAACTTAAATCTGAGCTTAGTCCCCTGAACCAAACAAGTTTTAGTGAATGTTTCTTTCTTTCTTTCTTTTTTTTTTTTTTTTAGACCTGGAAGGGACCTTTGAAGCCCTGTTGCCTAACCTCTTTATTATTTTTTTATATAAATTTATTTATTTTTAGTTTTCAATATTCACTTCCACAAGTTGTTGAGTTCCAAATTTCTCACCCCTCCCCCCACCCCAAGATGGCATGCATTTTGAATACCCCTTCCCCTGGTCTGCCTTCTCTTCTATCTCTCCCCCCCTCCCTTCTCTTATCCTCTTCCCCTTCTATTTTCCTGTAGAGCAGGATAGACTTCTGTACCCCATAGAATATTCATTTTTATAACACTTATTATTATATAGCAAAAATATATGTAACTCTCCAGTTACATCTGAATGTGCAACACTCCAGTTATATCTGACTCAGTCTAATTTCATAATAAGTCCCTAAAGTTCCACTGTAAAAGGAGAGGGCTAGCCTAGACAGCCTTCAAGGTCTTTTTTATCTCCAGATCTATAATCCAATGAATCATCAAAAGGGCTTTACCCTTAAAAGTGCTCATCTTAATACTATTGTGCTATAAGAACTGCTGAAGGAGATAGTTTCAGAAAAACATGGGAAGACTTATATGAACTGATATAAAGTGAAGTGAGCAGAGCAAGGGAGAACATTGTATACTGTAACAACAATATTGTAATAATAACCAATTGTGAAAGACTTAGCTACTCCAATGAATACGATAATCCATGACAATTGCAGAGGACTAATGATAAAAAATGTTACCTATTTCCAGAGAAAAAGAGTTGATGAACAAGTGCAGATTGAAGCACATTTTTAAATTTTCTTTATTTTTCTTGCTTTTTTTGCAATATAGCTAATATGGAAAAATGCTTTGCATGATTTCACATGTATAGTGGGTATAATATTACTTGCCTTCTTAATTGGGGGAAGAGGCTGAAGGGAAGGAGAAATTTGAGACTGAAAAAAAATTAAATGAATGTTAAAATAAAAAGAGTGAAGAAAGTATGGCCTCAAGATCTAATAAACAAATTCAAGCATCTATGAATTAATACTGCAAAACAAAAGAAAATGATCCAACAATTGATTAGACAGAGAACACTATAGAATGTGAGGAGAACATGGAATCACAACACTCTGTTCCTCAGTGATTCAAAAGAGAAATAAGAATTATGGAAGCAGAATTTATGGCTGCTCAGCAAAAATAATAGGTAGAATAGAAAAACTGGAATCTGCACTGACATGTCTCATCAAATAAAAGAGAGAACAATAGATTGGGAATGCAAATATAGAGAAATGAAGGACAATCTAGAAGAAAGAAGCAAAAAAAATTAAAATAAAATGTGCTTTTTTGTATTCTTACAGCTAACATGGTATTTATGAGATAGTAGTTGCTGATTAATTTTGATTGATTTTAGCTTTTTGGGTTTTTTTAATGTCTTGGTTTTGCTATAATATTGTCAGAAGTTTGACCTCAAAAATAAATCATTTTACTCTAAAAAAAAGTGCTCATCTTGTCCAAATTCAAACTGTGTGGGATGCCACTCAATTAAAAATAAAACAAAACACGGAGGTGTCCAAGGAGAAACAGAAAGTTAATTTATTATAGCTACAATTATTATTATTATTTCAAATCTCGAGATTTGGGTGTCCTCACACCAATGACTCTGATGAGAGGAGACAGCCCGCAGAGGTAGAAATCACTTTACATAACCCTGAAGACTCAATTCCCCCCTCCCTCCCCCAACTTTAGGTAGAGAGAAGAGGATGGGAGGGAATGTGAAGAGCTAGGGATGTGGTTGGCCCCAATCCCTCCAGGCAAGAATGTGATCAAGTTTCTGTTTTGAAGGAACCTGTTTTTTTCCTTCTCTGTTAGCTCAGGCCCAGGAGAAACAGGTGCAATTAAGAGAGGAGCCCAGAACAATCTCATACACCAGACTCTAATTTACAATTGTTTTGGAAGGTCTTAGGGATTGAACAGACAATGCTGGGAACTGGAAGACATCTGAGTAAGATCCTGTCAAAGGGAGATAAGGAGAGTAGATAAGGAACCTTTTAAGGGTTTTCTGGAGCCAGATTCCTTTAGGGGCAAAGACACATTTGATTAAAAAAAGATTAAAAAGTAAGTTAAGACTTAACCACTAGACAAATTTTAACTACTGATAAATGTCACTATAAAAAAATAACTCACAGAAATCTATTCTTAACCCTATCCTACCTTCTGAACTCACTACCTTAATTACACTGAGAAGTCTTCACTGGGACATCCCATTCACAAACTCAAGAATCCTGAAGCTAACACTGTTACTCTTATATTTCTTGTTAATGATCATTAAAGTGAAAGAGATGTTCATTCTCAGTCATAAGACGGCACACACAAGGCCTTGGGTTAAGAGGAAAAATAGGGAAACAAGAAGGAAAAATGCCACATAGAACTAGGTCCATGTGAGTTCAGTCCTAGAAAAAAAGCAGAGAGGAAAGGGAGGTGGCAGTGGAGAAAAAATGGAGAAGGGGGTGTCAGATTAAGAGCCATTTCTTATTGGAATTTTTTCTGGAATAGAATTTCTTTCTGAAAAGTCTTTCCACCCCTGGAATATGGGGAGCAGTGAGAGTAAAGGTATCAGGGGAGAGTCTCCAGGGATCACTGCAGTCAAGGTGACTTGAGAGGTAAATTACTGTTTCGTGAGCCAAAGAGAGCCTTCCTGTTCACCTGAGAGCAAGGGGCGGAGCAGGAAGCAGTAGCTGCTTTGTTTGGGAGGGTGAGCAGAGGAGAGAGTGCTACAGGTAGAGATGACAACCCAGAAGCCTCCTGTTCGGGGGAGAACCACAGAAGTTTGCCCGGCCTCCAGGAAGGGAGCATTTGGAAGGCCCTAAAGAAAACTAGGCTTTCCTGGGGCGGCAGCAGATGAAGAAAATAGCCGTGCCTTGGAGATCCTGAGTGAAAGGGGCCATGATGGGCCCGGAGCCACCTCCACCTCTTCTCCTCCTTTTTACCTGGCTCCCAGCAGGTGAGCCCTGGGGGTTAGCGGGCTGGGCTTTCCAGGCCAGGGGTTTGTGGAAGGCTTTGTTCTTCAGCTGGGCTGGGCCGCCTGGGTGGAGATGAGAAGGTAGAGAGAAGAGGATGGGAGGGAATGTGAAGAGCTAGGGATGTGGTTGGCCCCAATCCCTCCAGGCAAGAATGTGATCAAGTTTCTGTTTTGAAGGAACCTGTTTTTTTCCTTCTCTGTTAGCTCAGGCCCAGGAGAAACAGGTGCAATTAAGAGAGGAGCCCAGAATATTTGAGTAGGTGCCTATCTGTCCTTTCCAGTTTTTTTTTTGGGGGGGGGTCAGGGGGAAAAAGCAAAGAAAGAGATCCTCTCTAGGCATTCTCTTGGGTGGAGGCTCTGCTGAGAGTAGAAATAGCTTTCTTCAATGCCTTCCTCTCTTCCACTTCTCCTTTTCTTTCATCCTACACATACCTTTCTATTTGAAACTTTACTGTTGTTTTGAAAAGCACAGACACAACGCTGTTCTTTCTCTATACTCCTCCCTCAATCCCTCTTTTGTAATAAGTAGAGTTAAGCAGAAGAAACACACTGTACCTGGCTGTACATGTTTCATTATGCACCTGTAGATTGCCACCTCTCTCCCACGAGGAGAGCTATGTTTTATCACCAGTCCTCTTCTCTCTCCCCAAATGACTATATAAGGAGTAACTCCAAGGACAGGAGATAGGTACCAGGCCTGTGGTTTCATTCACACAGGGAGCTCCTAGCAAAGAACTTCCCCTTCCACTTCAGTTGAGCACCTTCTCTAGCATATATAGCCTTTGAGACATTGACTAGTTTACAATAGGCATAAAAAATGTTCCTATACAAAAGGCATATTCAATATGATATAGCAGAATCTGGAACTTAAACTAAGGTGTTCAATATGTTTTCTACATGTTTTTTCAGGTTATGAAATACAAGCTTCTTGAGGTCAGGGACCATTTTGTTTTTTGTCTTTATATCTCCATTGCCTAGTACAGAGTCTGACTCAACTTCGAGCATTTATTAAGTAGCTACTAAGCATAGAGGCAGCTGGTGGATCATAGAGCACTGGGCCTGGAGTCAGGAAGGTGTTGAGTTGTTTAAGTTGGGTCTCACTCTTTGTGACCCCATTTTGGGGTTTTTTTCTTGGCAAAGATACTGGAGTGGTTTGCCATTTCCTTCTCCAGCTCATTTTACAGATGAGGAAACTGAGGTAGACAGCGTTAAGGGACTCTGTGCCTGGGGTCACACAGCTAGTGTGTCTGAGGCCAGATTTTGTTCAGGTGTTGTGGACTCAGACACTCACTAGCTATGTGACCCCTGGCAAGTCCCTTAACCTCTTTGCCTTAATCTACTGGAAAAGGAAATGGCAAAAGACTCCAGTATCCTTGCCAAGGAAACCCCAAAAGAGAGTCAGGAAGAGTCAGACACAAATGAATGAGAACAAGCACTGGTGATATAAAGAAAGGTGAAAAACAATCCCTGCTCTTAAGGAGCTCACAGTCTAATAGGCCCTTAATAAATGTTTGTTTATTGATTGATTATAGGAAAGACTCTGCAGCCTTTGCTAATCACTTTCCCTATCCTACTCGCTTACTCCTGTCACACACATACCCCTAATCTATCTATGCCTTGCCACTTTCCCCTTGCCTGTCATTTATCCAGCTGTATAGCTTGCCAACTGCCTGCTTTGGGAAACGTTTGTCCTTGTGTATTTCTGATGATGTGTGGGAATCTATCTGCTTTCCTGAATCCGGGAATGAGTATGTATGTGACTAAATAGGGCAGTTAGGAGGTGCTGTGAGTGGAGCTCTGGGCCAGGAAGACCTGAGTTCAAATTTGACCTCAGACACCCCGGGCAAGTCACTTAATCCCGTTTGCCTCAGTTTCCTCATCTGTAAAATCAGCTGGAGAAGGAAATGGCAAACCACTTCAGTATCGTTGCCAAAAAAAAAAAACCCAAATGCGGTCATGAAGAGTCAGACATGACTCAACAACATCATGACTAAATAAATGCACATGCCGTTTCAGTAAAAATACCCTGGACTTGAAATCAGGAAGAACCGAATTCAGATGTCTCCTTAGACTCTTATTGTGTGACCCTTGTTAAGTCATGTAACTTCTCTTGTCTCAGTTTCTTCATTTGTAAAATAAGGAGTCAGGCTTTGTGGCTGCTAAAGTACTTTCCAATTCTAAGTCTATGATCTTATTGATAGACCTGAATTTAAATCTCTCCTCAGCTATGCACTACCTTCATGACCATGGGGAAATGACTTCCTTCTCCAGGTCTTATTTTCCACTTGTGTAAAACAAGAGAATTGACTAGGGGCAGCTAGGTACCACAGTGGATAGAGCACCAGCCCTGGATTCAGGAGGACCTGAGTTCAAATTTTATCTCAGACACATAACACTTACTAGCTGTGTGACCCTGGGCAAGTCACTTAGCCCCATTGATTAGCCAAAAAAAAAAAAGGGAGAGAGAGAGAGAGAGAGAATTGACTAGATGATCACTGTTATCTCCAGTTTCAAAAATTGTAACATCTTAGAAAACTGACTTGAAATTAGAATGTGGGCCCCTTCCCCTTTAATAGTAAACTACTTTTCATTTTTGTACCTATTCCTATGGACCCCTACCTGAGGTTATTCAGTGCCATTTCTTTCCTTTCTATATATGTTCTTACTTCTTTTTAGGAGTGGCTGCTCTCTGACCCATTATTCCATCATCCCCCTCCTCCCCAAATGAATGATCAGCTCAGAGATTGTTACAGTAAGAATCCTGTGGGGCAGGGAGAGAGAGAGAGAGAGATGAGTAAATATGATAGGCCATATATTTTTAGTGTATTCAGGTTTATAAAGTGGGTTGCTCACAATAACTCCATGAGAGAGGCAGTGCAAACATATTCATTCCCTCTTCCTTATCAGGAAACGGAATCTCAGAGAAGTGAAATGCATGCCACACACAGTTAGTATGTGGCTCAACTGGTACTTGAATTCAGGTTCTTGAAATCCAAAGAGATTATTCTTTCCACTACATGGCACTCTTAACATCATATACAAACACATTATGGATGTCAAAAGGATTAAGTCCTCATTTAACAATCTTGATAGAACATAGAAACTTCTCAGGCAAAATCACCAAACTTCATTAAAATGGAAGCTAGTTGCCATACTGAGATATGAGAGGACCTCAGGGAATCAGGTTCTTGGGAGTTCCAGGGGTTTCCAATGTTACCCAAATTAATTATAGGCTCATAAAGATTGAGAGCTGGAAGAGATCTTAGAGACCACTGAATCGACCCTTACCCCACCCCTGCTCCCAATTTCTACAGATGAGAAAACGAAAAATGAAAGAAGGTAGGTAATTTGTCTAGAATCATACAGCTGGTAAGTGTCTGAGGTGGGTTTTGAACTTGGGTCCAACTAACTCCAAGCCAAGTTCTTCATCCACCAATTATCCAAATCCCTTAGCACTGAGACATAGTCTATGCACAAAGAAAAGACGGAATGTGCTATGCTGGACAACTGATTCTAAATGTAGAATCAGGAATCACTTGAAGGCCCTTTAAAGACAATCTATTCTAAATCTCTTGTTTTACAAAAAAAAATAGCCCAACCCTCCTCTTACCCCCTCCCCCAATTCTAATTTTTAAATGAAGAAAATGAGACCTAAAGATATTAAGCATCTGACCCAAGGTTATATGATTCTGGGAAATAAACATCAGAGGCAAGTTTTGAATCCGTTCTCTAACTCTGACGCCAGAGCTCTTTCCACCATATGGCAAGATGCCTTCTTTGACCCAGGTTCAAATCCTTCATCTGAAATATACTGGCTGTGTTACTCTGAAGGCAAATCCTTCAATAATACCTCAGTGTCCTAGGCCAGTCTTTAAGACTATAAATCATAAAAAGGTGATTGATCTGCGTACTAGTAGAGAGAATTTTTTTTTTTGGTGAGGCAGTTGGGGTTAAGTGACTTGCCCAGGGTCACACAGCTAGTGTCAAGTCTCTGGTCTGAGGCTGGATTTGAACTCAGGTGCTCTTGATTTCAGGACCAGTGTTCTACCCACTGTACCACCTAGCTGCCCTGAGAGAATTTTTTTAGTGGGAGTTCCCTATGTCAATGAAATCATAGGTCTGAACAAAAAAAAAATGCAAAAGAAAAGGGACAAACAATTAAATTAAATTAAAGTATGGAAGTTCCCTGGAATTACTGTGTGATATTAATTTTGTCTTTCAGGCCTCAGTTTAGCATATGACTGCTATGCTTTCTTGTCAGAGTTCTTCCCCTTCCCTACTTTCGGACATCTGATACCTCCTGTGCCTGGTTAACCCCACCACTAGGAGCAAACAGTAGATCTTCACAGACAACCATCCAATCCCACCCTCCTCCTCATTACCATGCCCCAGTTAAATTCTCACAAAGGAAACAAATTCATAGACTTTCTGAGCTGAAAGTTTACTCAGGGGCCATTTAGTTTAACCCATATCTTTTTTTTTATTATTTTATTTTTTTCACTTTTGGAAAATTCTGAATTTAGCAAACATCAAATAGAATGAGTATTTATTTCCACATTAAAAGTAGAGCAGAAAAAGTGGCTTACACATGAAACTGCAAATCTCTTATTACTCTGCCTTTTGCTTTTCATTTTTAATATAAAATAAATTCAACATAAAACTTTCAAAGCTGCCCAGCTTCTCTTTGTTTCCTTTTAGCCTTCATTTCTCTTCTGTACATTAAAAAATTGCTTCAATAACTTTTTTTTCCTTCTTTACTTTTTTTTTTTTGGCTAGGCAGTGGGGTTAAGTGACTTGCCCAGGGTCACACAGCTAGTAAGTGTCAAGTGTTTGGTCTGAGGTCGTATTTGAACTCAGGTCCTCCTGACTTCAGAGCCGGCGCTCTATCCACTGTGCCACCTAGTTGCCCCACCCCCACCCCCACCCTTGCAATTCTTAGAGTTGTTATAAATGGCTATAAATAAATGCTACCTGTTGTTATT